GTTTATCATAATGTCTATGTTACTGTTTAGTGATGAGGCTACATTTCATACCTCGGGTAAAGTGGTTTATCATAATGTCTATGTTACTGTTTAGTGATGAGGCTACATTTCATACCTCGGGTAAAGTGGTTTATCGTAATGTCTATGTTTGGGGCTCAGGAAACTCCCATGATACCACTGAAATTGTGTGTGATAGCCCAAAGGTGAATGTGTGGTGCAGTCTCATGTGCAACAGTATTATTGATTCTTCCTCTTTTGCTGAGACCACTGTTACTAGGAGCATGTACCTTGACATTCTGGAACAATTTGTTGTCACAGAACTGGAGGAATTGCAACCATGGAGAATTTTTCAACAGGATGTTGCACCACTCACTGGAATTTGTTAGTCAGACGCTTCCTAGATCAGAAATTTCTGAGGCAAAGGATTGGTCGGGGTGTGCCAATTCTGTGTTCTCCGCATTTGCCAAACACCACTCCACTAGACTTCTTTCTCTGGGGGAGTGTTAAGGACAGTGTGTATTCGACATCTATAGAAAACATCACATAGCTAAAGAACAGGATGATGGATGCCATCACCACTATAACTGTGAACATGTTGCAGTGAACGTGTATTGAAATCGAATATCAGTTAGACTTGCTGAGAGCCACTAATGGTGCACATGTAGAAATGTACTGACATACCAAAAATAACTGCTTGAGTTGGGCTACAAGATCTTGAAAACTGCATGGTTGTATTTTTTTTAGTTATTTATTTACTAAATTTTAAAATAGGACAGATAATTTGGACCACCATCTGTACTGAATACATTATTTGAGATGATAAGTAGGATTTGATATGTTAGTGATCAATACATGCATTCTAATATTTTTTTTGCAGGCTTTGATAGATGTTTACCCATATAATTTGCTACAGTAAGATTTTATTTTGCTTAGATTCAGGCACTTACACAGGTTGGACCTGGGAACAAAGTGATTCATGAAGAAACCATGCCTATTTGGGGTATGACATATTTTTTCATTGTTGTGTTGTGTTATTACTATCTGAAATTTGTCTTACCTTCCAGTAGGAATTAGTTTTGTCTAATTAGCTCGTGGTTTCACGGTATAACTGTTTGGTTCTGGTTAAAAGCAAGGATATTTATGCATACTCTTGTTTTATATAAAACATTATATTTTCCCTACATCATGCTGTAGACCCTCTGTCATGATGTCTGTTTCTATATGTACTATGTGTCATGGAATCTATAGCATATACTGACCTTACTTCCATATATCCCTGCACAGATGTATTTACCTTGTTCTCTTGACTGTACATATAATGTATCTCAAAGAAATCCCTAAGTTTTATAGCAATTATATATCGTATGTTGTGTAGATCACATGATAAAGTCATATGAATACCACATATCTTCAACAGAATAACTTGTTTTTTCAGAAGTTTGGGATAAATCATAAAGCTTCTCTGACATTCACTGCTTTATGCTTGTATATTTATATCTCAATTTAGTCAAAACTTGAAGAAAGATAAACAGTCATTAACACAGCTATATATATTTTAAGCCACTGAAAACTTTGAAACAACATGAAAATTACTTAATTTATAAGCCACAAAATTAACCCATCTAGTGACAGCTTTTTCAGTTTTAGTCTACACCTTAAACAAATGTTTATCATATAGCTAGAAAACTATACGTTTGTCCCCCTTTAAGGAAATCTTTTTATAATGTTGCAGCTATTGCTAAATAGTTTCAAAGCCACTAAAACAGGCAGTTTATGTTTTCACAGTAGAATCCTTGGTTTTGTGATATCACATTCATTCATGTTTTAGTAGCACTCAACAATTGCTTGCATGAAATTTTTAAGCCTAACGCTCTGAGTTATATAACCTATTAATCTTGACATACAATATTTGTTAGGGACAAATTTTGGGGCTTCTCTGCTTTGATCTGTTTCTGGGATGGTAGAAAAGGAAACCTTTTGTACAAGTGAAAGCACAGATGATTGTTTCATGTGAACTGTTTCATATTTGCAAAAACAAACGTTTTTATTTCCATTATCTGTATCCAATCTCATTTCACCAAACCTGATTCTTTCATGGTTACTAACTTACATGTTTATGAAGATTTTTGTTCTTCAAGAAAGTATTTAGCTAAAAATTCTACAGAAGAGATTGATCTTTGTGTAATATTTGTTTATTGAAGTAATAGTTTGAGCTTAATACATTTATTATGATCTTGTTATTAATTATAAATATATTGGTAATATGCATGTGATTGAACATAATTTTTAATATTATGAGAATTAATTTGCTAAACACATTTAGCAATAAACAGAAAATTTGCAGAAGTTCATAATACAAACTGTGATTAGTTAAAGTAGTGATGTTGTAGTTAAATCTTAGTTACTCCCTTGTTGGTAAATTATTATCTCTAATTCTAGTAGTACTGGTATCTGAATGTTTGAGGTTTTGCTACTCTTTTTCATTGACAGTAGGTAAAGTTCACTTTTGCAACCTTCTGTGTCAAAAGTATATGTTGAAGTTGTATGTTTGACACTACTTTTTCCATGATGATATCCTAATAAAACTTCTGTCTTCCAGCACCTCCTTCACCACCAAGTAATATTTTTCCTACTGTAATCAGTCACACATCCACAACAATTCAAGTAAGATACCATAAAAATTTCTTTGCTAATACCCATGGCACTGTCACAGCATATACACTGATAGTTGCTGAAGATACTGCAAAGGAATCCAGCAGTTTGGAGCTGCCATCATGGGCAGATATTCAGATTTATTCTACTTGGCCTCCATATCAGGTTAGAAAATTTTGGATCAATAAGATTTTTCTTTATTCACGACAAATTGATAAAAATATTTAAAGTGTTGCAAATTTAAAAAAAAATTATACCATTTGATAGTTTCAATTTTATAAAGACATGTATATGCAATATGTTTGTGTTCTATATGAGTCTATTATCCCCTGCATCATTTATGATCTTTGTAACCTTTTATGTATTAGTGAGACAGATCCAAAAGTAAATGAAAGATTTCAAGAACATGGAACATATATTATTGGTGGTAATATTGAGGAGCTAATTTTCCAACATTTTTGTGATAACAAACATGAACTTTCACATCTCAAACTAATTATCTTAAGATCTGCTCTAGTTGAACATTCCTGAAAGCAAGGAACAGCACCTCATTTTTATCCTGGAAACACCTTCCTTAAATCGAATTGAATAAAAAAATGTCATTAATTTATTGTTTCTTTCTCATAATATTGTTTGGTCATCTACTATGACCCAAATTTTACATGAATGCATACCTGTGTTTTCATGTTTCTCTTTTTCTTTCTTTAACCAGCAGTTTAACAATTGTAAAAAACGAATTTTGTGGTATTTTCTTCACCTTATCAAGACACATGGTAGTGTTTCGTGCAGCAAAAACACTTGCAGGACACACTGTGTGTTATTAACAGATAATAATAGCTTAACAATTTCCACTTTCTGCAGCTCGGACTGTGGTGTAATCCAATCTATCAATATTTTCAATAAATGTGCTCTAATGGACCCTTACTTCACATACCAAATTCAAGGCAATCCGTTAAGAAATACATGAGATATAAAATCTCTAATTTGGATTAAATTTCTTCCAGAATTTTTTTCTTTGCACCTAAAGTACGGAAACATTATGTGATAGAAAAACATACTTAACTTTCATGGATTTTTCCAAATTTGGTACAATGATAGATTTTTTACAGCCTACAAGAAGGTGTTAAATTTGGTCTAAGTATATGCCACATGTGAAAAGTTATTCAACAAAACTTCTCAGTTTTCACCTATGCAAAATGTCACATGAACTATCTGTCTGAAAATTTTACTACAGCTTCACCTAAGAGTAAAGGTGGATAATTGTTAGTTTTTTGTTATTCAGATTAAAGACAACTGATTTACAGCAGCAAAAAAAGCATGCGCAGAGACATAAGTATTGGTTAGGCTAAGCAAACTAAATTAGCGATTTCTAGCTCAAGGTTTCAAAGGAATCATATGGGTGGACAGTTATTATTCATTGCTAACTTTTAAGAACAAATTTGCTAAATTTTATGAAATTCTCTTAAGTAAAGAGTGCTTAGTGTTATGTGTTATTAGCTTAAGCAATTAGTGTAAATAATGATGCTTGATACAGTTGTACCGTTTGCATGCAGGTGGTGACAAGAAACTGTTAATCTAGTTTCTATGACATTACTATAAAAGGAAGTTATTAACACTGTTTTAGAGAGTAAAAACTACCACCATATATTTTGTAAAGAATCTGTTATGAATAATAGGGTTGCAATCCTAAAACTAATGTTGGTTACAATCGAATGTCACTTTCTTACTAGCTGTGGTTTGTTGGTGTGTATTGACAAAAGTCATGATATTTAATCAAAATGCTCCATAGTGAGTGGTACAGCAGTATGTCTGCAGACTCACAATGCTAGAAACTGGGTTTCAATACCCTTGGAGGGCAGAGAACAGATAGCCTATTGTGTAGCTTTATGCTTAACTTCAAATAAACAAACAAATCTAATCAAAAACATCTTAGGTGTGAAAAAAAAAGGTGCAGACAAAAAAAGGATTGAGCATACAACTTGGAGGAATGAAATCAAAATTTGCAGCAAACTAATGAATGAATATTTGCTGTAAAATTTTTATTAATGCTGTAAGTGTAACTACCAGCTTGGCTGCCAATTTTGATTTCATTCTTTTAATTTGCATGCTCAATCCTTTTTCGTTGGCTGCACATATAAATATACCATGCAGGGTCTTTTTTTGTGATGATATAAATAAGCCATCTGTCAGTTTTAAAAATTTGTGCTCTGTTTGCAGTGTGTCATGTTTGAATTACCAGTTACTGTCTGAAGCAGGTTCTAGAAAGTTAACATTTATCGAAATGAAAGTGAGTGATGCTCCTTAATTTGAACTTTGTTGTTAAAATCAAATTAAGTGCATGTATATATCTATTGTACCTTTGTTTATAAATCTAGGTGACAGAACCATATCATCCATTTAATGATAGTTCAGTGGAAGACTTCATTATAGGAAATATGGATTGTTCATCGACAACACGGTACTGTAATGGACCCTTAAAATCAGGAGCTACATACAGAATTAAACTGCGTGGTTATACAACAACTGATAAGTTTGCTGATACTGTTTATTCTCCTTTAGTACAAACAGGTAATAAAATCAAAAATTTTCTTCGAAACATTGAATAATAAATTATATAGCAAAAAATCTTTATTGTTATGCATTAATTTCTTGATTCTAATTTCTGTACCATTATGTTTATGTAAATTCTGCATTTTTTTCTCATTCTGCTTTTAAACATAAATTAAAAAGAAAGAAAATGGCCCAGTAATTTCACTTCATTTAAAATCTACTACTTCAAAAGGTGTAAATTACCTAGTAACAAACTGAAATTAGCCATTTTGTTTCATCCACAATCAACAGCTACTTTGCTTAATTTAGCATGTTTTCATCATGAGAAATCAGGTTTTACTTATACACTAAAGAATCTCATGCAAAAATGTTTTGAAATATTAATTTACAGCTCATAATTTTTATGACTCGTACCATTTAATGACAATTTTTTAGCAATATTTTCAGGATGTACCACTTAATGTCTCATGAAAAGGCATAAAAAAATAGTGTGCATTGTAATAAGGAATATATGTTACAATATTGTGTTCAGGAAGTTTTGATTTTAATCATTTTATCAGTTCGTATGCACCTGCAAACACTGAAGACAGTACATTGTTGTGCAGAATGTTTATATTTATAACATGTTATGGTTAGCTTAATTCTTTTTATGTGGAGGTGAATTCAGAATACTTGTAAATATACTAGTCATCAGAGAGAAATGTTTGTTGAATATTAGCTGTTAAAGCTAGAAAAGTTTCAAATATTAAGGGACTTGTGATGAAAATAGGCTTGAAAATTAAATTCACTATTAGCACATTGTTGCTGTATAATTTTCAACATATACGGGGCCTGTGAGAAAAGTATCCGACCTTTGGCCGGGGAATAAAAACTGGCATACCTGGAGCGTTGGAAACCTAATCACCCTCAAAGTAGTCTCCTTGGGACACCACACACTTCTCCCAGCGGTGCCGCCATTGTTGGAAGCATTCCAAGAAAGCCTCTTTTGAAATGGAGTTTAGCTCGGCTGTTGTTGCAACCATATGTCCTCTC